CGAGGTGAGTGGCGGGGGCGGGGGGGCAGGTCACCTGCGGGGGAAGCCGGGCGGAACACGGAGGTCTGGGCATCGCGGCGGGGGTCCTGACAGCTGGGTGCTCGGCGGATTGCGGCGGATTCTGGAGAAGTTGGCGGGGACAGTTGGGGGTTCCTCGCAGGTTGTCTCCTGCCGGGAGATCGTAAAGGTGAGCGGGTTCGTCGCCGTGCACCTCAGCTCCGGGTCAGGCCGGGAGTCGCTGTCTCGGGCTGGAGGGATGGGGCTCGGTGGAGCTTCTAGTCTACACCCGCAGCTCTTCAGCTTCACCGAGTCGCCTCGGCCGCGCCACAGCCCATCCCGCCACTGGTTGCCCCCACCCCGGCCCGTGGTGACCTTGAGGGCAGAGGAGTCCGGCATTCCCTTTCCCCGCGCCCCGGGAGAGTCACCCCTCTAATCATCGGCTTCGGCCCCGGTGAAGAGCTGTGGGCGGGGAGCGGGGGCCTTAGTCAGCCCCCGGCCGGGGTGGTTGATTGATGCGTGTGAGGACGGTGATTTCCCGGGAGTTGGAGAGCTGCCTCGCCTTTCTCCCCACGTCTTCCGTCTGGCCCCCTAGGATGTTCACAGTTGCTTCCGATTCGTGTTTCTGGATTTTCTTTAAAAGGAGGGGGTAAAAAAAAAAAAAACCCGCGCCCCCATCCCCCTTTTGGAAAAGGGTCAGTAAGCAAGAGGATGATGGCAGGATGGCATTCCAGTTGCGGGGGGTGGGGGAGGAGTGTGCTCCGATTATTCCATCCTGCGGGGAGAGCCCTGTGGCTAAGCTAGTTAGCGACCCCTGGTTCTGCGCCGCGGTCACTAGCCAGATTGGTTTCTGTGCGCATTTCATTCACCAGTTTTCTGCGGGACTCGCAGCGCTGGAAGTGCTCGCACCCAGTACAGGGTACTGGTGTTTGGCGCCGAGGGGAGGGCAAGGGATGGGTCAGGGTGGGCTGAGGGGGTCTGCAAATATGCGGAGGACTCGACCTTCCTCGGCAGGCTCATTTTACCTTTCCCTTGTGGTTAGAGCGCTGCAAACGGCAGCCTTTGGCTGCTATTATGCACACTACTTTTCTGGGTTTATTAATAATCTAATGGCTCTTGTTGGTATCGATTGCTGTTCATGATAAATTAGTTATATGGATTTTTTTCATACGTATGTAAGTATATGCATATATCTGGACGGTCTGCCTTTCAACATGGAAGCCTTTGTTGTATTTAACCTCCCCCACCTGAGGACAGCCTTCTTTAAAATAAGGCTCTTCTTCAGCGTGGGTGTATATTATAATAAGAAGTACTTGTAAGAGCCTGGTTAGTATGTCTCTCGTCGGGCAGAGGGTGTGTAACCCTTTGGGTGGTGGCCCGTGTGAGTGAATGGAGGGCCTTCCCCAGACTCCCTGTCCTTGTGTGTGATAGGGGCGGATTGGGGGAATTAAGAGAGATTGGAGGAGAATCTGCTTTTTGTACTTGTGCGTTTCATTTCGCACCCCCCCCCCCGCCTTTCTTTTTCCTCCTGATGAGTTCAAATTTGAAGTAGAAATATATATATTTTATCGGGAGCCTTTGAAAGCTAGTATATGATGTAAATGGGCTTATTTAACAATGATTTCAGGGGGACGTTTTAGTTTCTACCTTGCTTTGGATAAGACAGTTAAATTGCTGTAATTAAGGGTGGATCTCTGTCCTGATTTTGGCTTGGGTGTAACTGCAAAGGTCTTTGAAAAGTAACTGTTATTTCCTACCATATAGTCTGCAAAAGTGAGTCACATTCGGGTGAGTTGAGGACAGAGCGCCACCTTTAATTTAAAATATCGTGATTTTCTTTTATTAAAATGGTGAAAATTCAGAGTATGCCTTCTTGATATTTATCGTAGTTGTTATTACTGGCATCCTCATATAGAGGTATTGGGGTAATTGCCTTCATTTTTTTGTATTCTGAAATTTCTCACTTTTGGAAGGAATTTCTGCAATTGTATGGGAAATCACGGTTTTTAAAATGAAGCTTGGGATTTAATGTGGCATTCTGAGATGAAGTGAGAAACTAGTTTTGATTTGTGCTTACGATAAAATAACAGAGATATTGATAGTGTAGATCTACTTAGGAAAAGAAATAAGAAAAGTAATAGCTGGGTTGTAAATAGATGTTTAAAACTAGCCATGGCCACCAAATAAGTTGGTGTCAACACAGTAGTGGCTACCAACATAATAGTTGTTTTACAGTTGTGTTTTAGCTGCTGGGCTATTAACACATTCTAAACTAAACACTTGAAATCAGTAAAATTACTAACCTCGCTTGAATAAAGTACAGTAATTTTTTTGTTTGTCATCTTCCAGTAACTTGCCTATGAGGATTTTACAATTACGTGTTTTTAAGTAATACAAATGAGTACTTTCTGCGGGAGTATTTACATTCAAGGTTTTAAAAGACAATATTGGAAACAGTGGTTTCTATATATGGCTCCTCTCAAGTGCATCCCATGTAAGAATAAAGGGAGTTTTTAATGCTTAGAAAACAAATGCTGTAGTGACAACTGAATTGGTGAGATTTCCTTTTCTGCCCACTTGCTTCTCCCCTCCCTCACAAATTAAAAATTTAAGGTACACTGTCTCTTTATGTACAGGATACTTTTTGATTATTGTACTGCAGGTTTAACATGAGAAAAAAGTCTTAGCTCTCAGGTAATGAGTAAGTCAGTATGTGGATATTACCAAATATAGTTTTAATTACAAACCACAAGATATTATTACCCTTCTATTTGCATTTAAGTTCTAATATAACACTTTAAGTTTCTTCATAGACTACTGTAAAACATTAGCTATTGAGCTGTAGATAAGCTAAAATTAAGCAAAAATTCTGTCTGAGGTGAAAGGTGGCTTATGCTTTTACTGCTATGTAGTCTCTTTGAAGCTGTATAATATGGCCCTAGGTTAAAGGACATTATTTGAGCTATTAGGTTGATGAACGCAAAATAGTTATACATTGTTCTGTATACTTTGAAAGAATCTTTTGATTTTGGGATTAAATGTACTAATTTCCTTTGTCTGACAGACATGTTAACTTCATTTTGGGTGAAGTGGTTGGTTTCTTACTGTGTCAAATGAGTTTTAAAAGGAATGGCCACTTATAAATATTGGTGGTCTTTTGCAGTATTGAACAAAAAAGAGTATTTGTCTTTTTTTTTCCTTTCATTTTACACATACATAAAGTTAAAACTGATGTTTTCACTTTTTAATTCTGGAATTTGGTAATTAATGAGCAAAAAACAATAAAAGGAGTAAAGAACAGGAAGCAGTCACTTAAGGCATAAATGTTTGCAGCTTGGGTTACTCAACCAGTTGGAAGGGAATAATTATTTTCTAGTAGGTGTCATGATACATAGAAAGATACTAATAATAGCTTATTTGGGAATAGATAGAATCTGAGGTACCATTGCAAGGAAAATGATATCTGATAGTCATGGGAGTAATTTTTTAAAAAATAAATAACTTCTAAAAGATTATTTTTTAGCTTTTGCAAATGTCATCTATACACACCATATATATACATATATTGTCTTGTTAAAATTTTTTATTACAGAAATTGTCAAATGTGTGAAAGTACAGAGAATGGTATATTTACCAACCAGTCTTCACAATTATCAACTCATGGCTCATCTTATTTCATTTATATCTTCACACAGAAAAAGGATCTGTTATAAATGAGGACATAGGACAGGTGACTGAATTGAATTCTTAGGTTTTATATTTGTAATTTACAGAGTATATTCAATAGGGTCCAATATGTAATTGAATCTGAAAGGTCTATTTTTATGTTCTTCATTGTCTATATGGCATATACACTTTAATTCTTCTGGTAGTAGTCTTGTCTTACAGCAGGTGTCTAAAGATAGATACTCTCAAATTTTGCTGTCTTAATAACAATGCCTTTGATTTATGAAGTGCTTTACAGTTTTTAAGCCTATATTTACATACTGTCTCATTTGGTTCTCACAATAAATAATCCTGT